ATTGAAGATATGTTGTATCAGAAAAGTTTGCATTTGCCTATGTTGGGCGAACAACCGGATGACATGTATGATGAAGAATGGAAGTTGTTGGATCGACAAGCCTTGGGTGTAGTTAGGCTTTCATTGGCAAAGAGTGTTGCGTATAACATTGTTAATGAAACAACTACTTATGGAGTATTTAAGGCTTTGTCCAACATGTACGAGAAGCCGTCCGCTTCCAACAAAGTGTTCCTCATCAAACAATTGGTTAACACCAAAAATGAAGGAAGGCGTGTCAGTTACCGCTCACATAAACGAGTTTAACTCGATTATCTCTCGTTTAGCCTCAGTTGCAATAAAGTTTGAAGATGAAGTACAAGCGCTCCTCCTTTTATCATCTTTGCCCGATAGTTGGTCAGGCACCGTCACAGTTGTTAGTAGTGCATCCGGCACTATTAAACTCACTTTCGAGAGTATTCGTGACTTGATTGTAAATGAAGATATCAGATGGAGAAGCAATGGTGAGACTTCTAGTTCTAGTTCTAGTTCTTTATTGCATACAGAAAGTAGAGGAAGAAGAAACGAAAGAGGACGTAGTCGAGGCAGATCAAAGTCTAGAAAAAGGGGGCAGTCCAAGAACCGAAAAGATATTGAATGTTGGAATTGCAAAGAAAAAGGTCACTTTAGAAACCAATGTACAAAACCACAAGCTGAAAAGAGAAAGAAGTACACAATGTATCCTCTGAAGAATCGGGAGATTTTCTCATATGTTGTGTTGAGAGCTCAATGGAATCCTGGATTATGGATTCGGGTGCTTCTTTCCATGTTGTCTCATGCCCAGATATGGTCAAGAACCTACAAACAGGTGACTTTGGCAAAGTTAGTTTGGCCGATGATCAAGTGCTTGATATTACGGGTATAGGAGACGTAGATTTGAAGACCTCCATGGGAACCACCTGGACATTGAAAGATGTCAGGGTTATCCCAAACTTAAGGAGAAAGTTGATTTCAGTTGGAAAATTGGATGATGAAGGGTTTAATGTTCACTTTGGGGTGGACAATGGAAAGTGATCAAAGGCAACTTGGTGATTGCCAAAGGAAAGAAGAAAGGCACTCTATACATGGTAGAGATACCTGGTGATGGTGTTCATGCATTAACCACCAATCCGAGTCCATCTAATTTATGGCACCAACGACTCGGACACATGAGCGATAAGGGATTGAAGATGTTGGCTCAGAAAGGAAAGTTTCCAGACTTGAAGAAAGTCGAAACTGAATTTTGTGAATCTTGTGTTCTCGGGAAACAAAAGCGGGTTACTTTTGTAAAAACGGGGAAGACACCGAAAGCTCAGAAGTTGGAGCTTGTTCACTCGGATGTATTTGGACCAACACCAGTTTCATCTCTAGGAGGCAAAAACTACTATGTAACCTTTATCGATGATTCAACACGCAAGGTATGGGTCTATTTTCTTAAAAATAAATCTGATGTATTTGATACTTTTAAGATATGGAAATCTGCTGTTGAAAATGAAACTGATTTGAAGGTAAAATGCCTGAAGTCGGATAATGGTGGTGAATACATAAGCAAGGAGTTTGTTGACTATTGTGCCAAGCAAGGGATAAAGATGATCAAGACGGTCCCAGGAACCCCTCAGCAGAATGGTGTAGCTGAAAGAATGAATAGAACTCTGGATGAAAGGGCTAGAAGCATGAGGTTGAATTCTGGTTTACCTAAGACATTTTGGGCTGATGCAGTTAACACTGCAGCCTACTTGATCAACCGTTCACCGTGTGTTCCCTTGGATTTTAAATTACCAGAAGAAATGTGGCAAGGGAAGGAAGTAAGTCTCAAACACCTGAAAGTCTTTGGTTGTACTGCTTACAGTTTGTTAAAAGATGGTGACAGGGATAAACTTGATTCAAAGACCAAGAAGTGTACATTCATTGGTTATGGGTCGGATGAAATGGGTTACAGGCTTTGGGATAGTGAGAGCAGAAAGATAATCCGAAGCAAGAATGTCACCTTTAACGAAGCCGAGTTATACAAAGACAGAAACAACAAAAGTCCAGAAGATCAGAAGGAGTATGTTGAGTTTGAAGGTGTTGAAAAGAAGAAAGAAGCTCCAGTCGAAATCCCTGAATCTGGGGATGATTCAACTGACAGTGGGAGCTCAGGGGATAATTCCAGTAATGATTCTGAAGATGAAGAAACCAGTCCTCCAACTCCAGAGTCCCCAGTCACACCTCAAGTTCAACTAAGAAGATCTTCCAGAGTCACAAGACCACCAAACAAATACTCACCATCTGTCAACTACATTCTTTTGACAGAAAACAGTGAACCCCAGTGTTACTCTGAAGCTATAGGGTTGAAGGATTCATTGCAGTGGGAGCTACCAATGAAAGATGAAATGAAGTCGCTTGAGAAGAACAACACATGGCACTTAACAAAGCTTCCAGTTGGGAAGAAGGCTCTTCAGAATAAATGGGTTTTCAGGGTCAAGGATGAACATGATGGTACCAAACGGTACAAAGCAAGATTAGTAGTCAAGGGCTTTCAACAGAAAGAAGGAATTGATTTCAATGAAATATTCTCTCCAGTAGTGAAGATGACCACTATCAGACTTGTTCTCAGTATTGTAGCAGCAGAAAGTTTGCATCTAGAGCAACTAGATGTCAAGACAGCTTTTCTACACGGTGACCTAGATGAAGACATTTACATGACACAACCAGAGGGTTTTTAGGATAAAGGCAAAGGAAACTTGGTGTGTAAATTGAAGAAGAGTTCGTATGGTCTGAAACAAGCACCCAGACAATGGTATTTGAAGTTCGATAACTTCATGAGAAAATTTGGTTACAAGAGATGTGACAATGATCATTGTTGTTACATCAAGAAGTTTAAGGGTTCTTATATCATTCTACTACTCTATGTAGATGATATGTTGATTGCCGGTTCAGACATGTCAGAGATCAAGAAGTTGAAGAAACAGATGTCTGAAGAGTTCGAAATGAAAGACTTGGGAGCTGCAAAGCAAATACTCGGGATGAGTATATTCAGAAACAAAGATGGTTCTTTAACACTATCTCAAGAAAAGTACCTTGAGAAAGTATTAGAGAAATTCAGCCTTAAAGATGCCAAGATCAGAACTACACCTTTGGGAAGTCACTTTAAGCTTTCTAAAGCTCAGTCACCCATATCAGATGAAGACAAGAAAGAAATGGCTAAAGTTCCTTATGCATCCGCAGTTGGTAGCCTCATGTATGCAATGGTATGCACGAGACCAGATATAGCTCATGCAGTGGGAGTTGTTAGTAGATTCATGTCCAATCCGGGAAGAGAACATTGGGAAGCAGTTAAATGGTTGTTGAGATACTTGAAAGGGACTTCAAAGACGGCATTAAATTTTAAGGGAAAAGATGTAGTTCTGAATGGTTATGCAGATGCAGATCTTGGTGGTTGTAAAGATTCATACAAAAGCACCACAGGGTATGTCTTTACAGTGGGCGGCACTGCAGTAAGTTGGATGTCCAAACTACAGAAAAGTGTTGCCCTTTCAACCACAGAAGCAGAGTATATGGCAGTTGCTGAAGCAAGCAAAGAGCTTATATGGTTGAAGAATTTTCTCAACGAACTTGGCAAAGAACAAGATGATTGTGCATTATTTTGTGACAATCAAAGTGCAATTCATCTTGCAAAGAATCCCGTCTTCCATTTGAAGACAAAGCACATACAGCTGAGATATCACTTCATCAGAGAAAGAATTAATGATGGCACTCTGAAGTTGAATAAGATCAAAGGAACTAAAAATTCAGGTGATATGTTGACTAAGGTTGTCACCTTAGAGAAGTTGAAGCTTTGCATAGCTTCAACTGGCCTTCAGGATAATTGAAGAGAAGGCCGGGTAACTAGAAAGGAGTCAAGATCAAAAGTTTTTACAGAAATACAGATACACAGTTGAAGCAATGGTGAAGATTGTTTCGTGGCTTCAAGTGGGAGATTGTTGAGTGTGAAGCCATTGGGTTAGTCAAAAGAAGTGGCAGGAAACAAGGACTCTCATGTGAACATGGAAAAATTGTTACGGCTGCAGAATTTCAACAATGGTGGCCTTACCAATTTCACATGTATGTGAATGGAAGAAAAGGCTTACGACTCAAAATATTATAAATAGGCTTCTTCCTTTCATTTGTAAAACTTGTATCTAGTGTAACAAAGAAAGAGTGCAGATTAGCACCAAGAAATATAAACTCCAAGTTACCCTCGTGTGGACGTAGGTCAGAAATAGACCGAACCACCTTAAATCCTTGTGTTCTTGTTTTTCGTGAGCTATGTGTGTGTTTAGAGTCGTGTGTTAAGTGTCTCGATCCTAACAACGCTCACCCCTACCAAAATTAACACATATCCAATGACATCATACATTGTCACACCCTGTCACAACCGTTCACCCGCTGATCCTTTACGATCTCTTCCCCCAAATTCAACAACTTGTTTTGGTTTTATTTTGGATGCAAATTTACGTTCTTACCTAATCACACTTCCATTTTGATGAATTTTGTTTGGAAACTCACGTCACCATGCCAAATTGGAGGAGAATGAGCTTTACAAAACAACTACCATCACTACTAGAAATATGGGTTTTAGCGACGGATGAATCCGTCGTTTTGCGACGGATCTGTGACAGACTTACTCCATAGCCAAATAAAACGTCGCTAATGACTTAGCGAGAGATTTAGCGACAGACTTAATTTTCCTTGCGACGACTTTAGCAACCGAATATCCATCGCACATTGCTCCCTTAATACCGTCATTTTAGGACATCAGCCACAAAACTAAATAAATATTTCATCCCTATCCGTTGCAAACCTCTATATCTGTCTTTTTATATTCCGTCGCTGATCCCTAGCAAAATTTAGATATGATTTTTTTGTTGTTTCCGTCGCTGATCCCTCGCAAATATATAATATTAATTTTTTTTTATTACAAATCTAAAACAAAAAAATACTAAAAACATGAAATAATTATACAATCCCAAACTAAACAATAATAAAATATCAAATAATTATACAATCCAAAACCAAACACTAATATTAAAATACCATAATCAACTATGAAATTTTAACAAAACATCCAAAAACATCAAATATCAATGTTTTACCAAAACCATCAAAATCATGAAACATCGAATCTCAATTCCGTTTCATATTTTCAAATAAATCCAATCTCTGTAGGCCTGCCCAAAACAATATTATAATTAAATCTCAGTTAAGTAATAATTAATAAATTGAATAAAAGAATCTAGGATGCTATAATGCACAATTAAATGAAAGTATTAGGACCATTTTTTAATAGAATTAAATTTATCAAATAAAAGATATTTTAAGAAGTAAAATAAATCGAAATAAATTACAAACCTGACTGTAGATCCCATTGGGTCTTTTTCTTCTTCATAGGCCTCACATTCTTTCCAACTGTTTGAGAAAAATGTGAAACAATATGTTTTTATGCTTAAATAATTATATATTTAACGAATTACAGATCCCATGTTTGTTTGCTGAAATGGAATGAATGTCTTATAATATATGTAAATTAAATGCTTACTCTATATATTATTTAATTAATGAATTATTTATTTACAAAATAAGAAAAATTGAATATAATACAAAGCTCATTAAAACTCATATAAGATTAAAATATATATTTTCGAGTAATTCTACTAATATAAAATTGTAATTTAATTAAACTCATAGTCTTTTCTTAAAGAAGATGTATATCATGAAAAATTATATAGATAATAAAGAAAACACCCACAGGGTAAGGAATGAAGATTAACATAACGGAAGAAGGGAATCACATTCCTTCAAGAATGGTTGAATGCATTCCATGAATGGAATGACCCATTCCATTCCTATCGTGATTCCATTATACAAAACACTACCATATAGTTTTACTTACCTAGTTCTGCAGGAAGTGGAGGCCTTCTAATAATACTTCCATTCTCTGCCACCACAATTTCCATGTAATTACAACCAAAAATAGTTTAAAAAAAAGATAACAGAAGAACTTTTGAAACTTAATGGACATATGCAATCATAACAGATAGAATGAAAGTCTATTCTAGGAAAAAAAATAGTTAAAAAAAATAGAATGCTTACTTTTACCACCTTCACTCGGATCCTCCAAATGATAAGGAGATGAATTCCAAAGCTTTTTTAAATTATCAGCTGATGATACTAAACTCCTGAATTCTTCTACTTTTTGTTTAAGATTGAGATCAGGGAGTTGTGGTATTTCCTGCAAGAAAGAAATTTCTTCATAAATATGTTAAAAAGGATTGGATTGAAACAAACAACTAATTAGAAATTTAATCAACAAAACAAAAAAGAAGAAACAAAACTTAAGTTACAGGGAGTTCTACTTACTTTTTCCTGCAATGGAAGGACACATGGTGTTTGTTGGAAGCATGCTTTTCTGTTGATAAAGGACATTATTGTCTACTCATAACTCATTTGATACTAAACTAAATGCATGACTAGAATGGAATTGAATTCCGATTCCGACCAAAAAATATATGAAAAAACATGTTGGTGAAAGAAAATACCGTGTTTGCATATTGGTCTTCAGAAATTTCACTTTTGGGGTTTGATCTTTGAACATTTTTATTGACCATAATGGGCCATCTACCACACCAAAACTAATTTTTTAATTAGGAATAAAATTACAAAACTAACCTTCATGGTCTCTGGTGCCATTGACCCTTTTTTTGATCGCATGCAACCAACCTTATCAATACAGTTGTAGGTACCACCCAAGAACTCTGGAATTCAAATGATGACAAATATGAAAGTAAAAGTAGTAAAAAGAACAATCTACCCATCTGTCTTTCCATAGTTGCATATTTCCTATCATTCTACCCAAAAAAATATTATCAACAAGATAAAAGTGGTAAAAAAATAAAATATATATTGAAAGATAATGGACATAACAGACCGAAGGGCATAATTGTATTTTGCAAATCAGAATAATATGCAATTTTGTTAGCCTTGTTGCACTGTTCGTGACAGAGAATGGCATCAGGATGACAATCATCTGAACAAACCGAAGATCCCCTGAACATGAATTTAGTCATGTAAGAATAAACAAGGGTATAATTGTCTTTTGCAAAGTATTAGTTAGAATGACTCAGAAGGGGCTACAAATACATTCCCAAGGGCATTTTGGGAATGTGTAAGAAGTTCAAGAAATGGAGTCAACTCCCTTCGGGCTATACCAATCAGCTCCTTTTTGGGAACAGCTTGTTCTTTCTTCTCATACCATTCGAGAGAGATATTTGATTTTATATTTAAATCATGAAATATTTAAAGTTTATATCATGAAATATTATTTTAAAGAACTTAAAACGTACCTGACATCAATCATTTTGAGGAGTTGGTTTTGGTATGTGCTGCCCAAAACCTACATGTAAATAAAGTTATTGACGAGTCAACTCTAATTTTTTATAAAACTGATGTTCTATTTTATAAAAAATGGAAAGAACTTACATGAACCTTAGCAGTAGTCTTTGGATTAAAGAAGAATTTGATTGTGTTCTACAAAAGCCTAAACCCAGACCATAGAATGAAAAAATGGAAGTGCCAATGCCATGCCATTAACCTGATGTCAAACTACAAGTTAAAAGCTATCACTATCCTAAACTATAATACTTTATAAACAGACACTTCTCTAACCCCCATCAGTTAAATGTCCTAAATACCCTTTCCTCATGAAAATAAAATCAGTTACCTATAAGGCTCCCATCACATCGATGGTCCAATAATGTCCCAATTTGTCAAGACATGACACAATATATTGTACAAATGACCTAAATACCCTCCTCATTCAAGAAGTCTGTTTTAGTCTTTTTGTATGAAAAGATGTACCTTGTATTGACATCAGGAGAACTTGAACACTCTGCCTATTGGCACACTCCCTTTACCATCCATTGCATCAAGATCCATTATTGTTGCAACCAATAACTCCAGCTGCAAAAGATTAAATTAGCCTCCTACTTTCATTTAAAAAAAATAGAAATTTATATTTTGGTTTTCTTTTTTCTGCTGACCTCTTCAGGGTCAGTATAGTCAATTCCATCAGCCTTGGAAAGCGCAGATGCCATATCCAGATAAGCCTCCTGAACATATCTTTATAGATTTACAATGAAATCTAAAATGTTGATGAAAAAATGTGATTTATAACAGTAATGGGATCAGTTGACACCTCACCAGGGAAAAAGTCTAGAACTTTCACATCACGCCTAGAATACTAATGTTGTTCATACCTATGACAACCAAAAAGTTTCCTGGATTCTAGTTCACCTACATTGATTAGAGTAGATGAGAAGTTGGTTGTGTGTTTTGAACGCTAAGCAATTTGTACCTTTTCATGAGATAATCCAAAAAAAGAATTGATACATCATGTAGCATCTTTTGGATTTCTTGCTACTAACAATTAATTACAATGCATGATTAAAAGAAAGTAAGTTTACTTTCATTAAGAGAAAGGAATATGTACCTTCATAAGATAGCCATAGCCATCAACAGAAGCGCCAAGATACATTGTTCTTACCCTACTCAGAGATTGAAAATAATGTATTTTAGTAATTACAAAAATTCCACAAAAATTCCACCAAAAAATGATAATTGAAGCAGAAAATTTCAATGTAGAGTAGCTGGTTATGAGTCAATCTAAAGTTTCTTTTATACAAATAAAAAAAATCTCTTGAATTTCTCAAAACCAAGGAAGGAAAGTGTGAAAATAAAGAAAAATGGAGCCTGTAAAAGCTTAGGGTTGGTAATAATTTTCAATTTGTCATCCTGTGTACCCTAATTTTCTGAAGATGTAGTTTTAATCTTCGTCTGTAGTAAGTTGACTTACCTGCAATCTAATGCAAAGAACCAGAGTAAATCAACGGAAATTTGCAGAAGTCCATGCCGGGTTCAACAATCCATAAATCTAAAGTTAAACTCAACACAATAACCAAACTTAATTCAAAACTTGAGTTTTTCGAAAACTTACAGGTGATTTGGGAAATTGGCTAGGATTAGGATCAAGGTTTGATTTATGATTAGTAATAGAGAAAACACAAACCTGGAGAAGTGCGTATGGAATTGATTGTTTGAAATTCATAGCAACCCAACATCGGGGATTGATGCTTGTATCGTTTTTGGAACCTTCAAACATTTTGGAGCTGTCGATTTCAGTTGTTTGCTGCTACCCACCGTTCTTGCTTTCGTTGTGCGTTTTCTTTAGTAATTTTTGTAATTACTAAAAGTTTTCAAAGTGTTCTAGATCACCAACAGAACCGCCGCCGCTACGCTATTAGGTGATCGACACCGCTGGTGATCGACGCCGCTGTTGCTGCCGAGCAGTTGTACGATCTAAATCAACAATATATGATGGACCAATAGATCGAAAGGCGTTAGCTGGGAATTAAGTGGCGAGTCAACATGGAAGGGAGACGGATCGAGAGGAAAGCCAACGAGGATGTGATTTATGATTAGGTTTTCCTTTCAGAGGCTTCAAAGACGAGCGATGCAGGTTGACTATGGTGGAGGCGATTTTCGGGGCAGAGGAGAGACTTGACGGTCATTTAGCGCTTTGGGAAGAAATTGTTTGCTTTGTGAAGAATTTAGAGGGAATGAGAATAAAACGAGGGAACAAGAAAAGAAAGAAAAGTGGAGAATGAAAAAAGGAGGCGTAGATTTTCTGCGAGGGTCAAGAAAAAAAAGCCTGTAATTTTTGCAATCTGTCGTTGTTCCCTCGCTACGAGGTTTTACTTACCGATGGTTTTAGCGAGGGATAGTTTTTTGTCGATAAAATCTTGATAATCCATCGTTAATCCCTTAGTAATACCTTCCTAAAATACTATAATTATTTTGATCGAAATATTTGTGGGTTCCATCGTTGATCCCTCAGTAAACTGTCACTGATTAGCTACAGATACAATCCGTTGCAAATTTCGTCGCTGTAGGTCAGGTTTCTAGTAGTGCATGGATACTCCGGTGTTTAATTTCGATTCCGATGAAATATAACCCACCAGCCTGACGAAACAACTACGATGGATGTTTCAGAGTTTAGTTATGACTCCGATGAAATCGAATCGACCTGTGGATGAGATTGACGAAACGACTGTGATGAAGCAATACCCACCAGTGAACATGAAAATAGAAATGGGAGCAATTCAAAGTGTGTTGTTATGCTTAGGTTTGTCATCCGCAAAAATCAACAAGATAGTGGTTGTTCTCAATTAATTTCTTGAATTATGTTTCAGGCAATCCATCTAATTACAAGATAACATAGTTGATTAACTGGATAAACCTTTCAATTGTGTTTATGAATGTGTATTTTTCAAGGTTGTAAAAAACGTTTGACGGTAGGTAGTCGGTGGACTGGGGTTAATGGATTAACCTGGAGATTAATCGGGTACCATAAATTGCAAATCCGTTGAACTTTTTAAAAAAAAATAGGTAATTAATATCATAACAAAGTTCGTAAATACCACTACTATCATAACAAAATAAGTTAATATGATTAATACCATACTAATCATTCCTCAATAGTTTATACCGAGATAGAACTTTCTTCAAAGTGTTAAAAATTTATCGTTTTCTACTTCTTTACTCATTTTGTTGGCATGGATTAATCACTAGTCGGTCAGGGCAGCACATTGGGATTAATATCGACCTAGTTGAGATTTTTACAACATTTGTATTTGTAATTGTTATCGATTAATGATTTTGTATTGCTACTAATGTTGAAGTCAGTTGTCTAATTGTTGATTAACTATATAAACCAAAAGCTATAGAAAATTTTTGATGGTTCAATACCTAGCTTTACAACTATATAACAAAACGAGGCATGTGGCATTTTTGACCCATAAGATTCATGGAATGTTAGGAGTAACACGTATGGTGGATCCCCCTTTAAAACCCATCAAAATTTGTGACTAAAGCCGCTTTCTGCGATGGTGTTACGATCCCACATTGGTCAAAAGTAAAATAATTTGGTGGCTTATAAGTCTAAGTGTCCCCTTCTCCTATAATCAAACTTTAGGGAGTGAGTTATACATTGGGCTTATGGCGTGATACGAGCTCAACATGGAATGAGTTCATTTCATATAGACAAAATATCACACTACTAGAAAAACAACCTTTTACGACGCGCAATGCGTGTCGTAAAAAGCTCAGACGACACGCAAATGTGTGTCACGGAAGGCCCTGTCATAACGAAAGACGACACGCTTTTGCGCGTCATCTATTTACGAAACGCATTTACGACACACATAGATGACACGCAATGCGTATCAAGATAGCCCCTGTCATAAAGGAAGATGACACGCATTTGCGTGTCGTAACCTTATGACGCGCATTTACGACACACATTGCGTGTCATAATTTTAAAATTTTTAAAAAAATATATTTTGTTAAAAAATATATATTTTTTTTTATAGATTTACTAATTTTCAAATTAAGTGACAATTAATATCTCAGAACACAACATAAAATACATGATATAACAAAAAAATGTATTTCATACAATAACAATCCAAGTAAAAGTTAGCATCAAAGTTACAACACAATATTAACCTAGCTCATCAGATGTAACAAAACCAAAACCTCTTCACTATTAAATGTAACAAAACCAAAGCCTCATCTCATCTGCAAATCAAAGTTACAACACAATATCAACATCATCAGATCTCAGGACTCTATAATTTGATTTTTTTTCCAATGAGAAATCAAATCATTGGTTATTATTACCTTCTGTTAAAGCAATGATATACCACCAACAAAGATTTTTTTTTCCATTGAGAAATCAAATCTTGATCTTACAAAAGACGAAAATGCCCTCCTCCTCGTTGTAAAAAATAACCCTAGGAAACTTGTTTAGTCTCGTCCAGACCGGATGAGACTGGACAAGATTTCTAAGGCTATTTTTGATGACGAGGACAAGAAGGGTATTTACGTTTTTTGCACAAACAACATATTAAGAAAATTCAGTACAAGTATAGAAAATAAAAGTAGAAACCTGTGAGCCTAAAATATGAGCTTTCAGATCCGAAAATATATGTGCAATTAAATGGTGGTTAGAGGTTAGTTGACTTACTTCAGTCAAAGATCAAATTACACCCAAATACAGACACATGTCATGTACCCAAGCACTACTCAAAACGACGTAGATTTGAGTAAAAAAAATCACCCTCATGTGGTAATTTTAGAATTAAGAGGGTCAGTTTTATTTTTATTCAAAACTACGTCGTTTTAGGTGGAGTAGTACAATCAGAAAAACATCGTATGGTGTATGTATTCATGGGATTTTTAATTTTTATGTATGTATTAAAAGTTAAAAGTAGAAGGAATAAAGTGATAAATTAATGACTTGTTCGTTGATTAGTATCAAACTGAGCATTAGTCTACTATGGCTCCACTGATTCCCATAGGCTTCAAACAAAACAATCTCAAACAGCGTCTTCAGTATCTGCCAAGAGATTAAAGAAGGGTTAATTGAATGTAGAAAATAGCAACATAAGTTTCTTTCATTTTTCATTTATATTAGTTATTTTTCAAAGAAAGTAGTTTTACTTCTGGGAACAATGTGGGACCCTCTGCCATATGGCGAGCGAGGTTGACTGCAGCAGGTGAAGTTGGTGCCTCCGTAATGGTGATGTTGTTGAAATAGTAAGCAGCCAAATTATCAACTGCTGATGCAGCCTAACAAAACAAAAAGTAAGATTTTATTTGTTTATTATTTATAGACATTATTAATACAGAAAAGTCGAAAATATAATATACCTGAGTGGAGATGCTAGTAACAAGGCCTTTTTAATCCGGATTCTAGTGAGCCAACTATATGCATGAAAGTGTTTGTATCAAGGTTCAACATGTGAACAATATGACTGCTGAATAGAACCTCCAAAAATGCATAATATGCCTTTGTAAGCTACAAAACACACACAAAATAAGAATTAGCTCAAAAACAACATTAGATAATAAGTTAAAATTATTATTTTAAATACCTTCCTGTAAGCCAAAATATCTGCCAAAGGAACTGATAGTGTCATTTTTAGAGAAATATCAAGTGCATCAGCAAGAGCTCTATCTCCATATAGTTCAAACACCCCAAAATTTACATAGTTTCCAGACAAGGCTGTCAATTATTATGAAACATCTTATTAAAATAATAAAAGATTAAAAAATGAAAGTAGCATGAAATATAGGGTCGGTCCGTTGATTTTGAAGGCCCTGTGCAAAAAATCAAAATGGGCCCCTAAATTTCATATTAAAAACAGATAACAATATAAAGCGACGTCGTTTTTTTTTAAGAAATAAATATATCATATTCATGTGATGTTTGATCAAATTTCGCGAATGTTATAATTGTTTGTTCCAATTCTTTTGTTTCTTCACTTTATTTTATGATATTAAATCAAATCTCAGTTTGTGTTTAAGAAATTATATGGTAATCACTCAAATAGATCAAACGATATTTTTTAGTAAAATCTATTAAAGAATATAATTAATTTCCAACAAACCCGCTGAAAGCGTTCACACACATATACATATGGGTGGTTGGAGAAATGTAAACAATC